GTCTGTCATTGTTTTTTCAAATGTGGACTTAAGTTTTAGAGAGCTAGCTCAGGGATTAAATCGACGACTGCGCAATGTAAGGACCTGAATTTGGATCCCCAGGGTTTTCCTAATGCCCAACATTGTCGTGGGAGTTTGTCATCCCTGCGCACCTGTGGAGACAGGGCAGCTGGAGAGAGGAGGGACCTCAGAAGTTCGTGCCCAGTTAGCTCAATAATGTAGGAGCAAACAAGAAAGCCTGTTCCAGACAGCAGACAAGCTGAGGACTGGGGCCCGAGTAGCGTGTAAGCACAAACCACACAAAGATAAAGACTTTTTTAAAAGGACTTAAAACATTTTGGGGGCGGGGTTCCAAAACAAAGTTTCTCTGTGTAGCCCCAGCTGTCCTGGAACTCACAGAGATTCGACTGCCTCTGCCCCCACCCCATGCTGGGATTAAAGGCGTGGACCACCACTGCCTGGCATACTTGATACATCTTAAATATGTAGAGTACAGAAGCCAGAGCTCCCTACTACTGTAAGAGTTTGATTCCCACCAAAAAAGAAAAAAAAGAAAATATTTCTCTCTGTGAGTTCAATCCTCAACACTGTGTGAATATGCATGTAAGTCCAGCACTTGGGAGGTAGGAGAATCCAAAATTTAAGGTCGTTGTAGCAAGCTTGAAGTCAGTCTGGGCTACCTAAGATCCTGTCTCAAGGAAACAAAACAAGCCGGGCGGTGGTGGCGCAAGCCTTTAATGGTGCACTCGGGAGGCAGAGCCAGGAGGATCTCTGTGAGTTCGAGGCCAGCCTGGTCTACAGAGCGAGATCCAGGACAGGCACCAAAACTAACAGAGAAACCCTGTCTCCAACACACACACACACACACACACACACACACACACACACACACACACACACACACACACGAGTTTGATCCCAGTTAGAGATACCTTTCTTTGAAAAAAAAAAAAAAACCTACAGAATTTAAAACTAAGCCAGGCATAATGGCACACCGTGTGCAATCCCCGCACTCAGGAGCCCGCAGCAGCAGAATTTGTAGCCACATAGTGAGATCCTCTCAGAAAACAAAGCATCTTACTTTGTTTGTGAGCATCTTACTCACAGCTCGAGTGAAGGAGAAGGCAGGGGATCATCCTGAACTAAATAGCAAGAGACTTTCTTTGTTTCTCTCTTTCTCTCTTTTTAGGCAAAGGGTCTCAGGTAGCCCAGGCTAGCCTCAAACTCACTATGTCGCTGGGGATGACCTCATCAAGCTTCTGGTCCTCCTGCCTCAGTGCCCTGAATATGGACACTGGCCTCCAGGTTTTGGGCGGTGCTGGAGGTGGAAGCCGTGGTTCTACATTTGCTAGGCATCTATGCCACCACTGAGCTGCACCCTCAGCCTGAGAACCCGGATCTCTAAGTACCTTCCCCGCCCCCAATTGCTTGTTTAGCCACTTTTCTTCTTGAAGAAGTCACAGTCATGATTTAATATTTTCAGCTGGGGGAAACTGGTAGGGATTGAATCCCCAGCCTGTGCTTGCTAAGCCAGTGTTCTGCCACTCAGCCACACCCGAGCCCCACCTGTAAGCTTAATTTTTAAAGATTTAGGTCCATTTAGAGCTATCCCAGTATAAGATACTCAATTTTCTTCACAACATTTGTTAAAGACTTTGTGTTCGTCTGAATATTTCTTGTACCATCTCAACTTCCTCCCATCATCTCCCTCCCCCCTCCCCCCTCCCCTCTCTCTCTCTCTCTCTCTCTGTGATATGCATGTCTGTGTTCCTGTGTACACATACACACACATATGTGGGGGTGCAGGTGCCATGCGTGTGGAGCCAGAGATCCACATTGGGTGTTAACCTCAGTTGCTCACCACCTTGGATCTCCCACTGAACCCGAAGTTCACCGATCTGAGGAGACTTGTGGGCTCACCAGTTCCAGGACCCTCCTGCCCTGCCTCCCCAGCACGGGATTACCCACAGCTGTCCATGACTGCTGGGGATTCAAACTCAGGTCCTTGTGCCTGCTCAGCAAACACTGCCACAAGCCCCTTTCCAGCAAAATGTTCTTTATTTGAAAACACTGACAAAATAGAAAATAGGATGGTAGTCTGATACTGTATCTTTTTTTGTTTTTGTTTTTGTTTTGTTTTGTTTTGTTTTCGAGACAGGGTTTCTCTGCTTAGCTTTGCGCCTTTCCTGGAGCTCACTTGGCAGCCCAGGCTGGCCTCGAACTCACAGAGATCTACCTGGCTCTGCCTCCCGAGTGCTGGGATTAAAGGCGTGCGCCACCACCGCCCGGCTGATACTGTATCATTTTTGTTGTTGATTTCAAGACATGGTCTCACTATGTAGCCCTGGCTGGCCAGGAACTTGCTATGGAGATCAGGCTGGCCTTAAACTCACAGAAATACACCTGCTTCTGCCTCAGCAGTGCCTGGATTAAAAGCACCACACTCAGCTGTATACATGTAAGAGAATAAAAAAACTAGTAGTTCAAATTAAATTCAAAAATATTAAAATATTGTTCTATCTGATACATTTATACACGTTGTCTTTTGTTGGAGACCTTGTCCAACCAGAGGACAGCTGGAACTCTGTGAAGGATGGTGGGGAGCTCAGGATCCTTCAGTCTTACCCTACCTAGGGCTGGGATCATAGGCTTACAAGACCACTTCCAGGGCCCGGGTCCCCTGTGGCCCAGGCTGGCCTAGAACTTCCTGTGTAACACAAGCTGACCTCTCAATGTCCTCTGGAAGGCCGGGCTTCCATGACTGCAGAACAAACGGTCTTAAAACATTAAATGTGTGCCAGGCAGTGGTGGCGCACACTTTTGGTCCCATCACTCAGGAGGCAGAGGCGGGTGGATCTCTGAGTCTGGGGCTAGCCTGGTCTACAGAGGGAGTTCCGGGTTAGCCAGGGCTACCCAGAAAGAAGCCCTGTTTAAAAACAAACAAACAAGCAAACAAACACCCTGCCAACACTAGAGAACCTAACTGTGCACCATAATATTGCACATAACCTAGAAGGAATAAGTAGATTCTGATTTCCCCTGGGAAAGGACAGTGCAGTAAGTTAAGTCATTTCCTGTCTCTACACCTGACCTGGAGAAGTTCAGAGAAGGAAAGGGCAATCCGGCTTCTTTGGTGTCTTATTCTATATCTTTTGGAAGTGTGAAAAACTTACCTGGTACATGTAACTTGTTTGGTTTTTGAGACAGGTCTCACAGAGCCAAGGCTGACCTGTCAACTTTGAAGTCACTGCATAGCTGAATTCCTGATCCTCCTGCCTCCACCTCCCCGGTACCAAGATTACAGGCACGTGCCTACCCGCCTACCTTACATATAACCTTTATATTTAGAAATGTAAACTGATTGTTACCACGGATCTAGTTGGGTGGGTACATTTATATAAGTATAGCACAAACTAATAGAAGAGACGCCAGGAGTTACCTGAATGATGGTGAATCCGGATCTGAGAATAATGTCGCGTATCTCCTCCTCTTTGTCAACAATATCTGGCTTGATAATGGCTAGTGTTTTTTCTACATATATCTGAGGCAGGGGCATTGACACCTCCATTCTGGCGCTTCCCGGTATAATTTACTAATCTCCTGACCAGGTATCCACTGCAGTGACAGCCCCAACCCGTGGCAGTATTTGGTGCTAGGCTTGATTAATTTGTGAAAATGGAAACTGCCATGTTTTCCTACAAGCAGTCTTGCAAGAATATGACTTGTATAGAGCCCAAGTGGAGCCCTGGTCGCTTCACTGAGGCAGGAGGATGGACTGTATCAGTGCCGCTCTCCAGTAGGGGAAGGCCCTAGCCGGCTGCCCTAGCGAAGGGCCCCTACTCCGCAAGGACCACTTTTTACAGGCTTAGGCGTGACTGCAAGGTAGGCCCCCCAGGTCCTTAGGAAATCTCCAGGCTAGACCCTCCCAGCTCTCACCTCCGTTCTGGTGTTGTCAAACCCCGTTGCTAAGAGACCCGAAGCTGGTTTTCTACGGTGGCTGCAGAGGGCCAATCCCAGCAGAGTTTTTCAGTCTCTGTCTTTTATCTAGGGTAGCAATTAGCCACGCGAATTTTATTCTTTTTATGAGTCTTAGAGTACTAGACATATTTCTAACATTTTTCTCATAATTTTAAAAACAACTTTATTAGCTGCTGCTGCTGCTGCTGGTGTGTGATGTGATGTGGAGGTAAGAAAACAACGTTGTGGAGTCAGATCTTTCCGTGTTTACTGTTTCCAGGGATGGACCTGGCCCTCTTGTGGTCGGGCTTGCGTGTGATCCTCTTTACCCACCCACTGAGCCTTAGCGCCAGCCCCTCTCTAGTTGATTTCCTTTCATCCTCATCCCTACTTGAAGGATGCTTGAATTATCCGCACTTTATAAATTAAATAAATCAGACGCCCCTCTCAGCATGCTCCATTCCCTCCCAGACATTAAATGAAAGATTCATGTCAAGTTTATTAATTTCTTGACATATTTTCTCTTTCCTTCCTTCCTTCTTTTTTGTCTTTTTCTTTTTTTGGTGGTGGTGGTGGTGGTGTACTGAGGATGAAGCCCAGGGCCCACGCTAGACAAGCACTAATCACTGAGCTACATCCCCAGCCAATACCTTCTTTATTTCACACTTGATGCAGTCCCCTCTAGATCCAGCTTCTTTAATCATTTAGAAACAGTCTTTGTGCAGGGCGGTGGTGGTGCATGCCTGTAATCCCAGCACTCAGGAGGCAGAGGCAGGTGGATCTCTGTGAGTTCGAGGTAAGCCTGGGCTACAGAGCAAGATCCAGGAAAGGCACAAAGCTACACAGAGAAACCCCGTCTTTAAAAAAACAAAAACAAAAACAAAACAAAACAAAAAATAAACCCAGTAAGGTCTGGTGGTCTGGTGGCACATACCTCTAATCCCAGCACGCCATTGGAGGTAGAAGCTGGATGCTATAGAGATTTCCAGGAAAGCCTGGGTTTTAATGGTTTGAGACCCCCACCTCAAAAACCAAACAAAATCTTTGGTTTATGAAATATTTATTCATAGAGAAACAAAAGATTCAATTAAATCACTTCTAAGTCTACACAACAAAAATATGGGCAATATTTACATCATAAATCGGGATCTCAGCACCCCACCCCCACCCCTTTAAAAATAATATATCTGCAAGCACCATTGACTCCTCAGCAGGGAACTAGGGCTTCTTATCCTTATTAGGGAAGCTAATGGAGAAGGAGTAAGTCTTCGGCTCTTCTCTGGCCAGTCTTCAGGAGAGCTATAATCTTGAGAAGGATTCAGACTTGCAGTTCCAGGCTAACAGAACAGACTTCCTTCATCCACTGGATTGGCTGGCACTCACCCCAGACTACTCAAGTCCTTCCTTTTGTCTAACCAAGTACTCAGCACCTACAGGAGCAAAGCCAGACACAAACCAAGAACCTTAAAGCCACGTAGAGAGTGTGCAATTTCATCTTTTGCATTGGCAAACAGATAAGACTACACTGGCTAAAGTGTGATGCTTCCCAAAGAGAAATCCTTACATGTCTCCTTGAACTTACGGTCTTCTCCCCAAAGATGGGAACTCTACATGTGCATCAGTACCGACAGCTGTAGCCACCAGAACATGGACGGCGGATCCAGCACTGACCTGCTTTTAGCTTTACTGGGGCCTCTGAAAGCACAAGTGCCCATCACTTGCCCATTCCCTGCCATCTTGCTGCTGGCCTTCCCAGATAACCTCATGCCACTGTGTATTAAATCTGGACCTTCTAAGACATGGAAGACAGGGAGCTTCCCAATCCTGAGGGGACATCAATCCTTAAGATGTTTCAGTCATCTCTAAGACAAGCTCCAAGGACACAAGGTCACCTCCACTTCACCTTTAGTCACACAAGCATCATAAACCAGACTCCAGAGACTATATTCCCTGTCCCTGAAGCACTTTCTGGTCCAGTACCTGGATCTGCTCCAAGACTTCGCGCTGCATCTCCACAGCCATGTGGTATATGTGGTGGTCAGAGTCATTGTACATCACAGCGTTCTGGAACATCAGCATCAGATCCCGCTGGAATTCAGCCATGGTGTGAATGCGTCCCTTAGACAGGTTCCTTTTCAGGGTTGTTAAGTCCATGGGTCTGCAGGAGCAAGAGGAAATCAAACCTTGATGAACTGAAGGCTGAGGCAGGAAGTTCTCACGAGTTTGAGGACAGCTTGAGCTACACAGTGAGTTCCAAGCCAGCATGAGTAAGACTGTCTCAAAACAGACAGACAAAAAATGTGGTGTCTATGACAAGCTCTTTGAGAACTTGTTCTTGGTGAAAACAGAAGCTGCACTAGTTCATTTTGTTTTTAGTTTTTGTTTTGTCAACTTGGCACAAGCTGGGGTCATCTGGGAAGAGGGAACCTCAATTGAGAAAACGTCTCTATTAGACTGGCCTGTGGGCATGTCTGGGGCATTTTTTTAAATTAATGATGGATGTGGGAGGGTCCAGCCCACTGTGGGTTAGTGCCGCTCCTGGGCAGATGGTCCTGAGTGAAGCACAATCCTAATTAGTCTTAACAACAAAAACCTGGATTCAGATGTTGAGGGTGAATGCTGAGAGATCAGAGAAGCAGAGCAGCCAGCCACCAGAGACTTCTTACCTCTATGAAATCTCAGACCGAATGAGGGGAAGATCCTGTCTCTACGAATCCTCAGACTGAATGAGTGGCCGAGATCCTGTCTCTACCGGCCTTACATTCCTGTCTCTACCTCCCTAGGATTAAAGGCATAATCCTCCCAACTGCTGGGATTAAATATGTGTGCCACCACTGCCTGGCCTCTATGGTTAACTAGTGGCTAGCTCTGCCCTCTGATCTCCCAGCAAGCTTTATTTGTCAGAACACAAACAAAATATCATACAATATCTGAGTTCTGTAAGAAAGTAAGCTGAGCAAGCCATGAGGAGCAAGCCAGTAAGAAGTATCCTTCCATGGCCTCTGCTTCAGTTCCTGTCTCCAGGTTCCTGATGAGTTCCCAGCCTGATCTCCCTGGTTGATGGAATAGATAGACCCTTTTCTCCCACAGGCTGGTTTTGGTCATGATGTTTATCACAGCAATGGGAAGCAAACTACAAGAGTGGCAAAGATAACAATTTTCATAAAATAATAAAATAGCAGCTGCAGATACTGATCCTTTATAAAGGCCAAACACTATGTTGAGCACATTCTATGGTAAGTTAATCCTCTCAATAAACATACAATGTAGATATTACTTACCATCATCATCATCATTTGGGAGGCACAGGGTATTGAACCTAGGGCAGTGGTTTTCAACCTGTGGGTCAAGACCCCCAAACCCTTTCAACAGGGGTTGAATATCAGATATCCTGCATATCAGATATCTACATTATGATTCATAAGAGTAGCCAAATTACAGTTATGAAGTAGCAACAAAATGATTTCATGGTTGGGGTCCCCACACATGAGGAGCTGTGCTAAAGGGTCGCAGCGTTGGGAAGGTGGGAACCACTGACCTAGGTGGGCCTCACACATACTGGGCAAGTCCCTTCTCATTAAGCCTTTGTCCGGCCCTTTCTTGGCTTTTTAGACACAAGAGCTTGTGACATTGCCAGGCAGGCCTTGAACTGGCTGTCCTCCTGCACTGTCACAGGGAGTCAGGATCTCAGGGCCACTGTTAGCACAGTTTTTGAGTCAGGGTTGTGCTGGGCATGGTGGCATACCCTTGCACCCGAGGAGCAGAAGCCGGAGGGCTGTCTCTCTCTCGCCATAGCCTCTGCTGGCCTTCAACTCGTGATATTCCTGCCTCACTTTCCAGAGAGAGGACAGGTAATTATGCTTTCCATTTGACAGATGAAGAAACTGAGGTCTGAAGAGATTACATGCTGCTTTTTCCTGGCTATAACCATGGAGGTGCCAAAGAGAAGAAAAAGGAGGTTCCTGCTGTGCCAGAAACCCCTACTAGAAAAAGAGAAGAAATTTCAGAGTTGAAGGGAAAGCTCTTGAAAAGAAATGTTCCAGAAAATGCCCCCAGAAGACAAAGAGGAAAAGCTTATTGTGAAAAAACACACACTATCACAAGGAATACACACAGATACACAGACCTGAGACTCCAAAGGCCAGATGGTAAGAAAGGCTGGCAACTGTCCGTACTTTGCAGAACCCAACTGGCCTTTGTCATCAGAATCAGAGGGGTCAATACTGTGGTTTGAATGTGAAGTATCCCCTATAGTCCACGCATTGGAATAATTGGGCCTCAGCCCATGGTGCCGCTTGAGAAAGTTGTGGAACCTTTAGAAGGTAGAGGCCCGCTGGAAGAAGTATGTCATGAGGGAACACATACTTCCTGTTCTCTCTCTGCTTCCTGCGGACCAGCCAGCCTCTTGTTCCTGCCGCCATTCTTTCCCTGACTGTATCCCTCTGGAACTGTAAGCCAAAATAAGCCCTTTGACCTCTTAAGTTCCTTTTTTGTTGGTTGTTGTTTTTTTAATGTGTTTGTTTGTTTGTTTTTTGAGACAGAATCTCTTAAAGTAGCCCTAGATGTCCTAGAACTCTCTATGTAGACCAGGCTGGCCAGAATTCCCAGAAGTCCACTTGCCTCGGCTGCTCAGAGTACACCACCACACCCAGGTCTAAGTTGATTTGTTTATTTTGTTTTTCGAGACAAGGTTTCTCTGTGTAGTCCTGGCTGTCCTAGACCAGGCTGGCCTCAAACTCACAGAGATCTGCCTGCCTCTGCCTCCTGAGTGCTGGTATGGAAGGCATGTGCCACCACCACCTGGCTAAGTTGATTTTTCCAGAGTATTTTATCACAGCAACAGAAAGTAACTAAGACAGAAACTGGTACCAGGAGGGGGGGCAATTGCTGGTAAGCCTGACTGTAAGGTTCTTAGGTGTTTGAAACTAATTTGGGAGAAGGAGGTGAAAGAGCTTGGAAATTTGGCCTAGAAAAGCCTTAACTGCCGTAAGAAGGACTGTAGAGGCTCTTCTGGGAAGGAGTCTGTAAGACAAAGGAGCAGAGAAAAGTGCAGACTGTAGAGGCTTGGCTCACGAGGAGTCAGAGGTGAACAAGGATGCTATTGGGAACTGGCCTGGAGGCCATTCAGGTTTTATTCTGGCAAAGAATTTGGCTATTTTCTGCAATGTCTAGGCACTTGAGGAGGCTGACTTAGAAAGTCCTGGACTACTCTGTCTGCAGAGGAGCTTTCAAGGCAGGAAAACACGAGACTGCTCACTGCTCACTGCTCACTGCTCACTGCTCACTGCTCCATCATCCGGAGTGAGACAGAGCAGCAAGTGGAGCAAAGCAACTGTGAAGCTTGTCAAGGAAGGACGCACAAGCAAGATTAGAGCTGTGAAGGAGGAGAGTGCAGATAAGAATACACCTTTCATTGTTCAAGAGATGGGTGCCATTAAAGAGAAGCCTCTTACTCTGCACCGAGACAGTACGGTGCCGTGGAGCTGCAGCAGTGGCTGAGCTGCCCTGTGTGAGGCTGTGAAGATAGAGTCTAGGCTGTAAGCAAGATGCCAGGATATGAGATGCTAGGACCCTGACATCACTACTCAAGACAGATGCAGGCATGGAATGGCGCTGGCCCACGAGAGAACCTCTCTGTGCTGTATGCAGACAGCACAGCTTTCGGAGCGCCGCGGAACATCAGAGCACCAGGGGCCGAACAGAGAGCTACAGGGATGCTGTCTGCCCTCCTGGATTTCAGGCTTGCTTTGGTCCAGACTTTCCTTGCTATGCCCCAGTCTTCCCTTTTAAGGTAGGAATGTACACCACGTGCCATTGCATATTGGAAGTACAGAGTTCGTTTTTTATTGATGGGGTCACAATTAGGAGATGGGCTGGCAAGACGGCTCTGCAGGTAAATGAACATACTTGCTGTACAGGCCTGACCACCTGAGCTCATTTCCTGGAACCCATGGAGGAAGGAGAACACTGACTGCCAAGAGTTGTCCAATGACCTGTAGCACATATATCAATGTGAGCGTGTGTGCGCACATGCTCACACATACACATAATCACAACGATAATAACAATACTATTTTAAAAAATTAAAAAAAGCGGGGATGGAGAGATGGCTCAGGGGTTAGGAGCACTGGCTGCTCTTCCAGAGGACCCGGGTTCAATTCCCACCACCTACATGGCAGCTCACAACTGTCTGTAACTCCAGTTCCAGTAGATCTGACGCCTTCACACCAATGCACATAAAATAAAGTTAAATAAATTTAAAAAAATCAAAAAGCCAGGTGTGGTGGCTCACACCTTTAATCCTAGCAGTCAGGAGGCAGAGGCAATCAGATCTCTGGAGTTCAAGGCCAGCCTAGACTACATAGCAAGTTCCAAGCCAGCTAGAGCCACACAGTAAAACCCTGTCTCAAACATACAAATTAATTAGAAGAGTGGCGGCCCCAAGTTTTCAATATTTCAGGTGAGAATTTGAACTTTTGAGTGTTGGCACTGTTAGGGACTATGGGGATTTTTGAAGTTTGACTGAATGTTTATTAGAAGGGTAAACTAAGTTGTCCCCATGAACTTATGGGAACAGGGACTGACTAATGTTTTAAGTGTCCCCATAGACTCAGGTATTGGAGTACTTGGTGTGCAGCTGGTGGTACTGCTTGGGAAAATTATGGAACTTTTCTTCTTCTTTTCCTTTTCTTCTTCCTTCTTCGTCGTCTTCTTCCACCTCCTCCTCCTCTTCCCCTTCTCCTCCTTCTTCGAAAGACAGGGTTTCTCTGTGTAGCCCTGGCTGTCCTGGAACTCACTCTGTAGACCAGGCTGGCCTCAAGTCACAGAGATCTACCATCCCTCTCATAACCTTTTAGATTCTATTGTTTTATGACAGCATTTTAAAATAGTTTTGGATTTATTTTTACTTTATTTGTTTATGTGGTACTTACACACCATGTGCATGTCTCATGCCTGTGGAGGCCAGAAGATGGCAGAGTCCCTGGAATTTTAACTCCAAAGTTACAGATGGTTGTGAGCCACCATGTGGGTACTGGGAACTGAATCTGAGTCCTCTGCAAGAGCAATTGAATGCTCTTAACAACTGGGCCATCTCCATAATGGCAGCATTTTAGATTAACTATGCTAACATCCAAAATACAGCACCCAACAATGTTTTTGAATTTCCATTTAACAGCTTTATCTTAGCATGTCTAATACTAACTGCCTGAATGAACACAGGGTCCCTCTTAAAGTTTTCTTTAAAAAATATTGTCAAATGTGGAAGGAACAGGGATGGGTGCACACATATGTAACTGTAGCACTAGGCAGTTAGTAGACTGAGGCAGAAATACCTCCAGTTAGCAACCAAACAGATTTTAAAACAAAACAAATAATAATAATAATAATAATAATAATAATAATAATAATAATAATAATAACAACACCTGTAATTCCATACTCTAGAGGTAGAAGCAGGAAGCTGGAGACTTCAAGATCAACTTCAGCTAAGTTTGAGGCCATCCTGGGCCACATGAGACTGTCTCAAAAATCTGTGGTCTCAGTTAACAGAGCAGCAGAAATGGGAAGATCACTTAAACCCACAAGTTCTAAACCAATCTAGCTAATATTGGGCAGGGAGTAGAAAGCATATCAAAAACCATTTTTTATATTTATTATTTTTTTAATATTCACAATGTCCAGTCCATTTGTATTAGGCAAATTCAGAGAAAACACTCCACTATCTCTCCTATCTTGATGAGTCCAAAGTTTTATACCTAAATCACTTTCTATCATAACTTGTATTACCATCCAAAAAATATCTTTTTAGACCTTAAAACATTTTCTTAGATAAACAACTTAAGCTTTTATGTTTCTTTTTTTCCCCCCACTTAAATGTCAAAAACAATTTTTAAGCCAAACTGGCTTAGATTGGCTGTAGAATACATCTTGAGTTTGAGTACTGTAAATAAGATATATAGTCTAGTAGATGGGAAATAAAGAATGGAAAGACAGACATAAAAGCAACAAGGGCCTGGTGTAGTGGCTCAGGCCTGTAATCCCAGCACTTCAGAGGGAGAGGCAGGAGGATTAGGAATTTAAGGTCAGCTTCAACCATTTGAGACCAGTCTGGGCTACAGGCAATCCACAGAGCAAAACAAACGAACAAAAGAAAAAGCAATGAACCCGGCCAGGAAGGTGCACAGCTGGAGAGTGCTTGCAGCAGAGAACCCGGCTAGGAAGGTGCACAGCTGGAGAGTGCTTGCAGCAGTGAACCAGGCCA